GGTCCTTGGGTTTAGGGTTTCAGGGTTTAGGGTTTCAGGGTTTAGGGTTTAGGGTTCTAGGGTTTAGGGTTTTGGATTTAAGTTTAGGGCCCTCAAAGTTGTTGTGCCAGTCTCAGAAAATAGGGGACCCTGATATAGAACCTTACAATAGGATCCCCATCACACCAACCCCCCCATTTAGGTGACCTAGTTTCTGCAACCTCCCATGCCAAGGCCTTAAAAGTCATGAGGCCTCGGCCTGTCTACAGTGGCACATAGGGGCATTAATCGTTAGAGTGCGGGAAGAACACCCTATATAGAGCCCTCGAGCACGAACTCCTGGACCCTAAACCCTACCCAGACCCGAAAGAATCTGGCTTTTTATGGTTTCACACAAGGAAATCATCATAAGGAGCCCTAAAAGGTAGGTTCTTATCTTTAGGGTCCAGGTAAACTTTAAAGCCCCCGAGGATTCGAGTTCTGAGTTGGCCAGGATGTGTTCGACTAAGCGCTGTTGCCTGAACTTGTCTCCTAGCTAGTATTAGGGAGCCCCCTGAAAGGTTACCCTTCTTAATCCTAGTTATGGGTCTCAAAAGGGACCTTATAGAGAGGGTCTATATCCCCAAGGGTCTCCCTAAACCCTAAACCCTAAACCCTAAACCCGAAACCCTAAACCTGAAACCTTATAAACCCGAAACCGGAAACCCCAAACCCGAAACCCGAAACCGGAAACCCTAAGCTCTGAACCATAACTCCTTAAATCCTCGGATCGGAGCTGAGGAGCGCGGTGAAGGTGTCCCTCTGTGAAGGCGAGGCCCCACAACAGGCCTGCTAAAGGGCTCAGGGTTCAACTTTTGAAGGTTTAGGGTTTAGGGCTTAAGGTTCAAATTTTGAAGGTTGAGGGTTTAGGGTTGAAATTTTGAAGGTTTAGGGTTTAGGGCTTGAGTTTTAAAGGCGCGGTTCTCAGCCAAAGGGGTGCGTAGGGCTTGATGGCAGCCATACGAACCTCAGTTTTTCAGTTTTGGTTTTTCGCATTAGCGCGGGCACTCCTGTCGCCCCGGCAGCAGATAGAGCATTGAATGTCATGTGGGAGCCCTAAACCCTAAACCCTAAACCCTAAACTCTAAACCCTAAGCCCTAACCCTAAACCCTAAACCCTAAACCCTAAACCCTAAACGTACTGTAGATCTGCGCGCCCCCGTCAACTCCAGATTCCCCGGCCCCGCTAAGCCCCAAAGCCGCAATCCTCATCCTTGCGTCCAGCAAAACCTCAAGTCATGAAACCCACAAAATCCCAAACCCTGAACTCCAAACCTCATAGAACCCCTTTTATCAACTCTTATGGCAAGTAATTATGCACAACCCTAAACCCTAAACCCTTGTATCAACTCTTATAGTAAGTTAATATAACCTTAGAGCGCCCTTGCAACACCCTACGAGGTTCCCTATTGCATGGCCCTGGGCTATACCAAGAGCATGTGCGCGGCTGCGATGACCGGTGCGCATTTACAGGCGCCGGCTCCCGACCTATCAGGGGAACCCTTGCAGAACCCTGAACCCTAAAGCCCTAAAACCCTAAAGCCCTAAACCCTAAACCCGAAACTCTAAAGCCCTAAACCCTAAACCCCAAGCCCCTAAACCCTAACCCCTAAACCCTTGCAGAACCATAACAGGAACCCTCACAGACCCCTACTTGGAGGGGTCTGTATAAGCGTTCCTCTTGAGGCTCCCGAGCTGTTCAGGGAGGGACTTGGAGATTCATGGGTACTGGGAGGTTCATGGGTAGTTATAAATGGGGTTATAAGTCCTCTAGTATGGGTTATAAGTACAATTAGCCTACTTACAACCCCACTTATAACTACCCATGAACCTCCAAGTAGTTATGAGTGGGAGTATGGTTTAGGGTTTAGGGTTTGGGGTCTAGGGTAGTTGTAAGGACTTGGGGATGCATGGGTAGTTATAAGGGTTTAGAGTTTAGGGTTTAGGGTTTGGGGTCTACTTGGAGGTTCGTGGGTAGTTATGAGCCAGCTTGTGAGTGGGGTAACTGAACCTCCTAAACCCTAAACCCTAAACCACCTCCTAAACCCTAAACCCTAAACCACCTCCTAAACCCTAAACCCTAAACCCTAAACCACCTCCTAAACCCTAAACCCTGTAGAACCCCGAAAGGAACCTCCAAGAGGGGAGGGGCCGAGTCAAGTCGATGGCATTCCGGGTTTGATTTTCGGTTGCTGAGGTCTCCTTAGGGTTCGGGATTTGATGGCTTGGGTTAGGTTTTAGGGTTTAGGGTTTAGGGTTTAGGGTTTAGAGTTAGGGTTCTGGCTTTGATGGCTTCGGGGTTCAAGGGTGTTTTTTGTCTTTTGTTGGGTGGTTCACAGGTTTTAGGGTTTGCGGGTTTGGGCGTCTTGCCAGTTTTCCGGCTTCGGGGTTGAGGGCGAGCAGAGTTTGAGGTGATCGGAAAAGGGTGCAAACGGCGGCTTAGGGGCGAGGGTTCAAAGGATTTCGGGTGCAATATAGAAGCCTAAATAATTACCAATACTATTGTGGGGGTTCCTTATTATAAGTATCCCTAAACCCTAAACCCTAAACCCTACACCGTTTTGTATAATATACCCCCCAAAGCTTAGTCCAATGCAGCTGTCTTCTTAGAATAGGGTTTAGGGTTTAGGGTTTGGGTCGCAAAATTCGTCATAAGGCTCTTTGCAAACCCTATAGCAAGCTCAGTAGAATACCATAGCACCCTTGTCGAAGCCTATAAATTCTTTTGTAGCGGTACTTGCACGATATGCCTCGAAGCTTCGTTCAAGCCTCAGCCCATTTGAAGTTCATGTCGCCTAGACTGACTACTATAGCAGCCGTAATGATTGGCAACTAGAACTAGAATAGGATTTTGGGGTGCAGTGTACTACAAGTAGGAGTTTTAAGTTTTATGAGTAGTTTTGCTACTGATTGAGGCTTCGATGCAAGACCTTTGCAGATCGTCTGGCGTGTTTCTGAAAAGTAGACCCCCAAACCTGTTTACTGTGCGGTTGCTATTCAAGTATGCCCTGCAATGCTAGTTTCATGTACCTAAGCCCTAAACCTAAACCATCGACCCTAAACCCTAAATCCTAAGCCCAGCATATCGGCAGCACCGAAGTCCAACTTCATAAACTTCTGCAGCTCCTGAAAGAACGAAACTCTCCAGGTCCCGAACTTGTAAACCCGACACCCTACAGCCTAAACCCTCAACCCTAGGTTTAGGGTTTCGGTTTAGGGTTTAGGGTTTAGGGTTTAGGGTTCAGGGGTTTAGGGTTTAGGGTTTAGGGTTTAGGGTTTAGGGTTTAGGGTTTAGGGTTTAGGGTTAGGGTTGCTTGAATGAAGAGAAAAAATCCGGCAAGCTCATGGTTTTTGTGCCACAGGGCGCCCTGCCGCTCGACGGCGACCTTCCGGCGATGCGGGCGCTGGTCATCGGGCGCGGGTGGTGGGTGGGTTCGGGGGCATGCTGCGTTCTTGTGGGTGATGCCTGATTTCTCAACCCTAAACCCTAAACCCTCTGCCCTAAACCCTAAACCCTAAACCCCAAACCCTAAACCCTAAACCCTAAACCCTAAACCCTAAACCCCAAACACAGCCTTGGCGATCTGATGGCTTTGATAGCTATGCGTGGAGTTTGAGGCTCGCTCCTGTGAGGCTGGGCTCCTGAAGCACCCCCAATCTCAGGGAATCGGGGACATGGGGTTTAGGGTTTAGGGTTCAGGGAGAGAACTAGCACTCAAAGATGGGCTTCAGGGTTGAGGGTGAGGTGCACAGTGCGTATCTGCACACCCTGAACACCCTAGACCCTAAACATGCCCCACAAGCCCCCCCGTACAGCTGGATTCTTCAAGATCGCTCAAGACTGGGTCCTTGTTAAGCTTAGTAACTGAGTGGCTACACTTTACACTTTTTGGGTTAATATTACCCACTATAAAACTGAAAGTGTACACTTTTTGTGGCTTATGAACTCAGCAACTAAGTAAGGAGATTAAGTTAAGTAACCATAGCAAGGAAACCCCATTATGTACTATAGTTCCCTCTGATGGTATCTTAAATTAAATCCCTCAACAAGAACCCAGAGGCTCGGGGCGGGATCGATGCCGCTCTGGCTGCAGCACACGTTCCCTGAGGTGGGCCGCAGGTTGGGAATCGGGTCTCGGGTTTAGGGTGTAGGGTTTAGGGTGTAGGGTTTAGGGTGTAGGGTTTAGGGTGTAGGGGTTGGGGGTGTAGGGTTTAGGGTGTAGGGGTTTAGGGTTTAGGGGTTTGGGGTTTATGGTGTAGGGTTTAGGGTGTAGCGGTTTGGGGTTTAGGGTGTAGGGATTTAGGGTTTAGGGGGAGGGAACTCCGACTGGAAAGGACCCCTCAGCCCTCAGCGATGTGTGCCAACCTCTTCCTGGAAGTCGCATGTAGAGGTAGGAACATCCCGTAACATCCCCTTTTTCAGACCTACATTATTCCATGTCTGATTGAAGGGAAGGTGCCGTGAGCCAAGGCAGCGCACTCATAGAGCAGCATGTCGGCCGCGCCTCAAACTCTCAAATCAAGTGACATGCGGTATAGAATCTATGGCTATGAGAAACGTCTAACGACAATCAGGTAAAGGTCGAACGACGAAGCTCCCAATTCCTTAACCGGTCTACTGGTATGTGAAACATGTCCACGCTGCAAGTTCAGTATTCATGGGGGTTCCTTATTGTGGATGTACTATAAGAGACACCAAAACCCTATTCTGATAATTAACGCCGCTTTTTTACATCCACCAAAATCCAACCCTTGCAAATCATCTCGCAGTTCGCTCGAGCTCAGACGCAACCGCCGAGATTGCCCCTCCTCTTCTGCAGCTTGCGCCATGGACAGTCCGACGGAGTACGACAAGGAGGAAGTGCACGGAGCCAAAATGACCTGGAGGCAAGCAGGGATAGTACTTTAACCCTCACCTTCGGATAAATCCTAAACCCTCAGCTCTTTACCGAAAACCCCAGACCCTGAACCCCAAGCGCCAAACCCTAAATCCACCTGGAGGCAGGCAGGAATTCTGCTTTTCACATTTGCTGCACCTTCCGCAGTCATGGCTGTGCCCTTCGCAATTGCCAATGCTGGCTTCATAGGAGGCATCGTGATCTGCATGGTGATCACCGGGGCTTCCATTGCCGGCTCGAATCTTTAGCGCGCTTAGGAATTACTTTTGGTTTTCATTTTAAATAAGCTCCCAAAAAGTATCCCGAAACCCTAAACCCACAGACCCCTGAGCTTCACATGTGGTTCTACGGGCGCCTAAGGAAAATGCTGCAGCAGACCCCTAAACCCTAAACCCTAACAGATATGCTGCTGCAGATCCCTACACCCTAAACCCTGAACCCTAAACCATTAAGGAACGTGCTGCTGCAGATCCCGAAACCCAAAACCCTAAGCCATTCAGGAAGATGCTGCTGCAGATCCCTAAACCCTGAACACTGAACCCTAAACCCTAAACCCTCAACCCTAAACCCTGAACCCTAAACCCTAAACCCTAAACCCCTAAACCCTAAACCCTAAACCCTAAACCCCATTAAGGAATATGCTGCTGCAGATCAAGATGCGGTATCCGGACTGCGAGACCTTCGGAGACCTGGGCTTCAAGGTCTTCGGCCGTCCTGGAAGGATCTTCGGAAATCTGACCCTGAGGCCAGGATTTAGGGTTTAGGGTTTAGGGTTTAGGGTTTTAGGGTTTAGGGTTTTAGGGTTTAGGGGCCAGGATTTAGGATTTAGGGTTTAGGGTTTAGGGTTTTAGGGCCAGGATTTAGGGTTTAGGGGCCAGGATTTAGGGTTTAGGGGTCAGGATTTAGGGTTTAGGGGCCAGGATTTGGGGTTTTGGGGTTGAGGGGCCAGGATTTAGGGTTTAGGGTTTTAGGGTTTAGGGTTGAGGATTTAGGGTTCAGGGTTTAGGGTTTAGGGAGTCTTGACAGGGATCTATAAGGGTTTCTTTAAGGGTACTACAAGGGTGGAAAAGGGGTAGTTCTCTAAATCGGGGTCCCTTTTTCGGGTCCTTTTTTTTACAAGGGTGCCGTACAAGTTTGGGGAC